CCCCACAAAAAGCTTCTACATAATTTATCAATGGATAGAATTATACCCTTTGGGATCAGATACACCAACATCCAAAAAACAGGGAGACTAGACAGCACTGAATTAATAAGAGTGATTCTACCTCCAAGAGACAAGTACCGCCCCTTCCAAATGGATAATTTTCGTGAGAAGAGGTCCAGCAATGGTTTCCAAAAAGCAAGCTTTCTGCAGCTCCCCCCAATGGGAATCCCAAGGTACTTAAATGGAAATGATCCTCTTTTGCAGCATAACACCCAGGACAATTTTTCCAGCCAATCTTCTTCCACCCCTATCCCCACAAGCTGGCTTTTATTGAAATTAATTTTCAGGTCCGAAACCAATTCAAATGATCTTAGTATTCCTTTCATTGCCCAGACATTTTCCTCAGAAGCTATTCTGAACAGAATTGTATCATCGGCATATTGAAGGTGTGATACTTTGAATCCACGAGACTCCACCTGCACTCCTTCAAGTAGGCCCTTTTGTGAAGCTGTGGAGATTAAACCATTTAGCCCCTCAACAACTATTAAAAATAGAAAAGGGGATAGAGGATCCCCTTGTCTAAGTCCTCGGGAAACTGTGAATTGTCTTGTCGGACTTCTGTTAACCAAGACTGAGACCAGGCTTGTTTCCAGGCACACTATGATCCATTTTCTCCAAGTAGCACAAAACCCCATCCTTAGTATCATATAATCCAGAAAACTCCAATTTACTTTGTCGTAAGCTTTCTCAAAGTCAATTTTAAACATGAAAGTTTCTTTCTTCCTTTTTTTTGCCTCATCGACCACCTCATTTGCTATGACAACCCCGTCCATTAATTTTCTACCACTGATGAACGCCATTTGTTGCTCACCAATTACCCCATCAAGTACCTTCTTTAACCGGTTGGCTAAAATCTTTGTAAGAATTTTGTACATCACACCAATGAGAGAAATGGGTCTGAATTCCTCAATCTTCTGTGGATTATCCACTTTTGGGATGAGGACTATGAAAGAGGTATTTAGTCCACTCACCAATTTGCTATTCTTGTGAAAATCTTGTAGGAATCCTATGACATCCTCTTTAATTACCTCCCATTCACTCTTGACAAATCTGAAATTGAATCCATCGGGGCCTGGTGCTTTCGAGCTATCACAATCTTCTACTGCTGCCTTTATCTCTTCTACATTGAATGGTTTGATGATTGAGCTATCGTCTTCCCCAGTTATTTGTTTGAAGCATATCCCATCTAATTTCGGTCTCTCCCCCTGCTCTTCTTTAAACATACTTTCAAAGTAAGATGAAATCTCCTCTTTCATTTTGCTCACTTCTACAATCTGGGTTCCTTGCACATAAATGCTGTTCATTTCATTTCTCTTCCATCTTCCTTTCACACAATTATGGAAAAACTTTGTGTTCGCATCTCCATTTAGCAGCCAAGTTTTCCTTGATTTATGTTGCAGCATGCTTTCTTTGTGCTTTAGATTCTTCCACAAATCTAGAAAGGCCTCCCTTCTCGCTTTGATCTCCTCCTCCATCAGTTGTTCCCTCTCTCCCTTTAAATCTACTTGAGTAATCTTGGCTACTGCTTTGTTTATTTTGTTGTCAATATTCGAGACTAGGTTTTGGTTCCACTTCCTTAGTGCCTCCTTAGTTAATTTCAGTCTCTCCTTAAGGCGGAATCCAGCCCACCCTTGAATGTTAGCCTTGTTCCACACATCTTTTATCAGTTCTCTGCACCCTTCTAATTCCAGCCAAGAGTCAAAAAATCTAAATGCCTTAGGCCCCCAGTCAACTTTATTATGTCTAAGCAGAATTGGACAATGATCTGATACTGTTCTGCATAATCCCCACTGTCTAGCCTCATCCCACTTTGATAGCCACCCTTTAGAAAGCAAAAATCTGTCTAGTCTGCTCATGGATTTACCATTAGCCTGATACCAAGTGTACTTTCTGCCCACATGAGGAATGTCAAACAGCTCTGATTCACAAATAAAATTATCAAATTCTCTCATCTCCACCGTCAAACCACTTCTTCCAGCCTTTTCCTCCATTCTCCAAACTGTATTGAAATCTCCCACCAGACATATATTCCCCCCCCCTTCCTGATATCAGAGTTTTTAACTCCTCCCATAAGACTCGCTTGCCAGCTAATTGGCATGGAGAGTACACATTTATAATGATAACAGGTGTTTGTTCTGGAACCCACACCCCTTCAATGCCTATATAATTTTCTCCCTCAAAAACTTGTGTCTTCCTTAGTATCTTATTATTCCATAAACACAATAGACCTCCTGACATCCTTGCTGAGCTTTTGACTACCCAATCAAACTCTTCATATCCTCATACTGAGCTAGCAATTTTTCTGTCCACTTTTTCTAACTTTGTTTCTTGAACGGCCAAAAAATCTACCTTCTCTTTACACACTAATTGTCTAAGTTGTCTTTTCTTTCCAACACCCCCCAACCCTCTAATGTTATAGGACATAATATTCATTGTGCAGAACAACTAACCTTCTGTCCCTTGGCCGTTTTCCTTGAGTTCTCCTCTTCTTTAGCTTTCCTGTCTCTCGACTCCATCTCCTCGAGCCTTTTAATAACATTCTCCTCATTCTCAGCTGCTACCCCTATTTTTTTGGCAAAATTCCATAGATCTACTGCAATATTTTTGCTTGGTTGCTTCTTCAAAATTCTGTTGCAATTCTCAATACCGCTGTCCCCCACTGAGCCTCCTGCTATTGGATTGCTGGCGCATGGAACAAACTCCGGAATCTTCTTCCCCTACGCCTCAAGTTGTCTTGGCTGAGCTTTAGCTTTGCCTTTTTTCTTTTGGTTTAGCTGCCCAAGAAAAGTGGCTCTTTGATATACCGAGCTACATAATTTTGTTCTCTTCCTCTTCCTTTTCTTCTCTCTTTTTTCCTTTTTACCTCTCCCTTCCTTCTCGCAGCCTTCGTCACTTGCAAATCCTGCCTAGAACAACCTAGAGTTTTCCGTGGTAGACCCTCCTTTTGTGCTCCTTTTTTGTCTACAGGTTGCTCCTTTCTCAACTGCACTAACAGGCCTCATTTTATTTCCCGATTGCATGTTGCTGCTCCTTTCTCCATTGGCTGAATTTGTAGTATCCATTTCTTTTGTTGTGGGGTGCATTTGGCCCACCTCCTCCCTAATGGGCTTGGTCCTTAATTCCGGCCCAATGGCTTCCAAATCCTCAATAGGATCCGTTGTGGCTTGAGTTTTTGTATTTGAATCAGAGTTGCATTCCCCAACGTCTTCTCTGTCTCCTGCATCATTCAAATATTCATCCACATTAATGCTATCTGCCACCACGTCTACTGAATCTTCTTCCTCAATCTGGCTTTGTGATCTCTTGTCAGCCTTTTTGGATTGCCTCACATCATTGCTGGTTTTTTCTAATTCAAATTCACCCTCTTCCTCGAAGGACGGGATGACAGCCAACCCCATGTCTTTTCTGTATAGACCCCATGTGTCACTAGCTTCTACTTCTTCTCCGGCGATGTTCTGCCGGTCTACTCCGTGTTCATCTTCATAATCACTAACTTCTGACCATGATTCTTCATTTTCTGATTCACTCTTGAAATTTGGCATGAAGTCATATTTGATTGAGAAAAGGCTGTTCGTCTGTTCCTCTTCAGTGAATTTTAAGTTGTATATCACACCATTGACTCTAATTTGTCTTTTGATTGAAATTGAATCCATGATGGACGTTGAGATGAGGAAACGAGCAATGTCGAACCTTCTTTTCTTGCCGGTACTATCATCCAAACAGATAAATTTACCCCAAGCAACTGCCATATTCTCAAAAAATTCTGGACCCCAAGCATGCAAAGGGGCTCCTTGGCATCTCATCCACACAAATCTTTCGTTTGCTACCATTGGTGGTGACCATGGTTTTACTTCTAGGAACCATTGGCCTAACCAATCCGGAGCTCCCTGCACTAAGTCTCTAAGTTCTTCCTTGTCCTCACACTCCAATAAAACCAACTTCCCACCCATTGCTCGTAACCGGCACGTGAAATAGCCTTCCATATAAAACTTCTCTTGAAGGGTTGGGACAATTTCAACAAAGTGAGCTGTTCCTACATAACAGCCTTGTAACCACTCATAATCCTCAACCTTCACATTATATTCAAAGCCAGACCACTTTGTTTCTTTGCTCTTTTCTATCCATGTCTATTTGCTCTCTTGCTGCTTGGGATTCCTTCTGCTATGGTGCTTTTCCAGATCTGCATTTGCTCTTGCCACAAATTCATGCCCCCTTGCTTCCCTCGGCTTGTCCACTTGCTGTCCTTTTACTGCATCTGCATATGTTTTTCCTTGTACCACAGTAGCTATACCAGAGACTCTTCTCCTCTCCACCTTTTTTGATTTTTCTTCAGGGTATTTGGCTACTTTAACCTAGAGTTTGCGCCCCTCAATCCAGATTTGGTCCAGTTGACTCTCAAGTTCTTTTACCAACTTCACATCAAGGAACCTCACAAAGCCGAACCTATTGCCACTTTTACTTCTTCTTTGCGGGCTATATATTGCCAGCACTCTCCCGTATTTGGCAAACGTTACCCACATTTTTGTGTAACTCCAATCTTCAGGAAAGTTTGTAAAGAAGAATGCTGTAGCTTGCTTGTAAACCCCTTTATCATAACCCCATTCCCCATGATCCATCTGGTGCTTGCTGTTTCCTTGCCTTCCCAAGACCTCTGATCTCCATTTGCTGCTTCTCCCTCTGGGCTGTGACCCCTCTTTGTCCAGTGCTGTCCGTCCTTTCCATGCTTAGTGTCCATTGCCTGAGCCCTTTACTCTCTCTCTACCTCTCTCTCTCATGCTATTCTCTTTTTAGTACGACTTGACCCGTCTACGATAGTATTAGTCATTGGAGCAAGGCGATCATTATTGGACAATTGCAAGCAATGGTTTTTATTTTATTTTTTTTTCCATTCTTTTTCTGTTTAATATTTTTAAAAATATTTTTACATATTTTCATAAAAAAAGGTATTGTTTAGTTTAGACTATACATCTTAAACCATTTAAATAAGAGATGAGCTTCCTAATATTGAGAGTTATCCTTCATCTAATAAAAGCAAAAAACTCTTTGATTACAATTTAAACTGTAAAATAGCAGATTCTTTTACTTTTTGAGGGAAAAATGTCATTTTAGAAAAAAACTAAAAAGGGTTCAATTTGCAAACGAAATAATCACTAGGGCTGACCTGCAAACATTCGAAAGCACAAGGGCTTGCCCTTTTTCTTTAATTGGTTCTCTCTCTCTCTTTATTGGATTTAAAAACTTCTGTCTCTCTTTATTTTTGTACTACTTTTTTATCCTTTTTATTAATGTTTTACTGTATTTTTTTAAACTACTTTTTATATTCTATCTTGATTCTTAAATTACTAATATCAGAATACTGTATATAATAACATAATAGAACTACTGATGATCTATAACTATAATAGCCTCACTGATTTGATCACCATCACTGTCATTTGAGTTTTGAAGCGGTGTGCTCCCAAGTTTCATTAGTTGCACGGCTGCAGCTTGGGGCATCTCATTAATCCCACCTAAGTGTATATATAGTCATTTTGGTCCATCTATCTCATGTTTATATGTTGACACTGACACGATTAGTTTGATGTGATTTAATATTTCATAGGCTTGAAGATGGAAATAGTTGCTCCACATGCAAGTATGATTGTACCTGAAGTTTCTTAAAAGCAATAACTACAAAAGGTGAAGCATTTTCATGCAGCACTATTTAGTGGGTCAAGATTTTTGGGATGTTGTTCAATTAAGCCAGTTGTCTGCTGGAGGAAATACGACGGATTGGATTAAAAAAAGTGCATTAGCTCTGCATGCCATTAAGATTTCATGTGGAGAAGAAATGTTCGACAAAATAAAGGACATGGATTCTGCTAAAGATGTTTGGGATGCATTGGCTGAAATGCATAAACCCCCAGTTGTCGCTCAGGAAAGTGCTAAGCACCCCCTAGAAAGGCGAACAGGTTTTATTCTATTCCATCTCTGTTTTAATTTCTTTTTCTTTGTCGCATCTGTTAATTAATTGGAGAGACTGTAATACGGTTTGAGTTTTTAAGGTAATGGTTCAGATTTGATGGTTAACAAATTTATCCATGATGTTTATTTTAAGGATGATGATTGATATGCTTGTTGAGTTAATACATTTGTATAATGTATTCAATAAAAAATTATTATTTTTAAATTTAAATTTAAAATTA